TGTGTATAAGCCCATTTAATTTAATTTTGCTGGCCAGCAAGGATGCGCTTTAATCAATCCGCATGGCAAATTAATTCGATTCGGCTTCATTAATAATTAACAATTGTTTACTTTCATACCAAAAAAAAAAACAAAAAAGCAAATAATGAAGATAATGTGACAAATGAAAACCAATTATAATGCTTTTCACTCCGCTCAAATGACATTTCAATGTGCATAATAATTGAATACTATTTGAATTAATTAGCAGCACTGCAGCGCACACAAGTGAACGTAATTAAGGGCTTTAATGCATACATTAAGTATTTATTAGAGGTTAGCTAAACTTATATGGCTTATGTAGCTGCAACTCCATTGATTTGGCTCTGTGATTTCAATTGAAGTAAATGCTACGAATTTATGATTAGGAATATCGAAAAGTTTGAACAAAAATAGGTATATATGAATAAATATTTTATACATATATAAATCAGTTCTATATTTATTCAACACTAATATTGAAACAAAAAAGGAAAACAAAAAAAATTTAAAAATAGTTTATTTTTAGAATTTATATGTGCTATCATTTCTATAAAAGAAATCTACAAGAAACAATTTAATTTTAAGCATATTTTGATGAAATTATGCCAGAAATAAATCAAGAATTTTGTTCAAATATATATGTAGTAATTTTAATCATTAATTTTAATTTTATTTGTATTTGTTTATCTATTTATACATTCATATATTTAACTTTATGCCAAGATCTGGCAATTGACTAAATAAATATGAATTTGCTTTTAAGTGATTAAATATGTTTGAGCCACTTAACAAACTGCTCTCTCTAATATATGTATAAGTATTTATTTCAACATCATTATAGCAATCAACATATAGATTTCAAATCTTATTTGTTATGCACATCCGAGATGCTTCAATTAAAATTTATCAGTAGCAATAAGTTGAGCACACGAAATGCAATATTCTAGGCAAAGCGAGCGAGTAAAAGGATACGTGAGCAGTCGTATTATGAAAAAGCCTTAGAGCGTGTCCTCGGGCTATTTGCTTTATGTGTGGAAGGTATTGTCACACAGCAGATAATGGAAAAAGCGAATGCCGAAGAGATTAAAATGCCTGCCACAGATGTTGAGCAATGCTTAGGCATAGTAAGTGCTTTCGATGGCAAGCATTAGGAGCTAAACGCTGATAAAGCGTATGGAAATGTGCGTAGAAAAAAAGAGAAATGGATTAGGAAGATAAACAGATATACATATACATATATATTATTAATATTCACGGCTAGAATTTGTGTCAATAACCGTTGAGCTGACTGGATAATTGTAACAGCATACAGCAAATATCAATGTAGAATTATCTAACGACAATTACATCAAATAAATGTATATATGTATGTATGTGTGTAGTCGACTTGTTGTTGATAACTGTTTGTGTTTGCATTTGATATGTAGACATGTGCTGCTGACATGGTTCCTGTTCTTGGTGGCACAGTGGCTGCCATTAAAATCCTTGCAACATTGTTAATGAACTTTTAATGACTTTTTGCGATGGCACACAAATACGTATATGTACACATGTACATCTGTATGTATGCCCAGGAGATACATATGTACATCATGAACAAACAAAACTAAACTGAAGTCTACCAGCTGTACAAATCTCGGCGTTTCAGTTTTGTTTCGTGCAACTTTTGTGTACAGCAATTTGCGCCCATTGAAATAAGCGTGAAATCTGACACACACACACACACGCACACCCACATTAATAAACAAACAAGGGTAAACACACGCACTCACACAAATGCACTTTCAGTTGGCAGCTGCCAAGCCTGTTTGGGAGTAACTGAGCACGCCAGCAACATCAACAGCTCTCCTATCAGCATCTGCATCAGCAACAGCAGCAGCAGCAATAACAACAACAACTTGTTTACATGCCACACGTTCGGACTAGGTGGGCGTATGTAGTCAAGTATGTGTGTGTGTGCGTATGCTTGTGTGGGTGTGTGTGTGTGTGTGCATCGCAAATTAGGAATTCAAGTGGAAAGTAGAATATAAATTTCGCACTAAGCCAAAGCTTTAGCTCCCTGCCAAATCGTGCAACTGACTCAGCATTGAATGACCTGAAAGGCCCGGCATGCCCTATGCATACCCTATATTAATGCAACTGTAAACAAATGCCAGCGATAAGACACGATCACACTAAAAACTAACTAATAATAGAGACTTCTTTATTCACTCATAGACCTCAATTCAAAGCTGATAAGCCGTGAAAACCTCAGCGCAAGATAATATCATAGAGCAATCGTCGGCTGAGCATATTTAAACGTGGGACGCACGCCAACGGCCACAGTCGCTGACGATCGCCGCCAGTGTTGAGAAGGTACTTAACGAAGCTCTTCACAGCTGATCGCTGGCCAGCTGTTTGCCTCTATCAATAAAATCGCACATTTTTAGCCCAGCATTCCATTCCATCCATAATCTATATGTAAAGACAAATCTATTAATGCACGCATATTGTAGCAACGGAATCTGATCACGATGAGCAAGACTGAGTGGGAGAGCAACGAGGAAATTAAAATTTTCCGCGAATATCTGCGCATTCCAACGGTGCATCCAAATGTTGATTACAGTAAGTTCTCATATCTAAGTACACGCTTGATAAGCAAGTCGTTTGAGCAATTCATCCCATAAAGATTAACTTTCGTCTGCGTTTTATAGCCGCCTGTGTGGAGTTCTTGAAGCGCCAGGCAGCCAGACTGGGCCTGCCCGTGGACGTCATCTATCCCGTGAACGAAGCCAACCCCGTGGTGGTAATGAAATGGCTGGGCAAGCAGCCGGAACTACCCTCAATAATTCTGAACTCGCACACGGATGTCGTGCCCGTCTTTCCTGATAAGTGGACCCACGGGCCATTCAGTGCCGATCTGGATGACGAAGGTCGCATCTTTGCCCGCGGCTCGCAAGACATGAAGTGCGTTGGAACTCAATATCTGGGCGCCGTTCGCGCCCTCAAGGCGAGTGGCTTCCAGCCGAAGCGCACTGTCTATCTCACCTATGTGCCCGACGAAGAGGTCGGAGGTCACTTGGGCATGCGCCAGCTGGTGAACAGCGACTACTTCAAGAAGCTGAATGTCGGATTCAGCTTTGACGAGGGCATTTCGAGTGAGGACGAAACATACGCCGTGTACTACGCCGAACGAACCTTGTGGCGTAAGTCATGTACCACTTCCCCAGAAGACACTTAATAATATAACCATTTCAGACCTTAAGTTCAAGATCAGCGGAACTGCTGGTCACGGCTCGCTGCTGCTGCCGAACACCGCTGGCCAGAAGCTCAACTACATTGTGAACAAGCTGATGGAATTCCGCGAGTCGCAGGTGAAGCGACTCAAGGATGAGCCCAACATTGACATTGGAGATGTCACCACCGTTAACCTAACCCAACTGGCCGGCGGTGTCCAAAGCAATGTGGTGCCGCCGTTGCTGGAAGCGGTCTTTGATATTCGAATCGCCGTCACTGTGGATATTGCTGAGTTTGAGAAACAAATTCGCGATTGGTGCGAGGAGGCCGGAGGCGGCATTGAGCTGGAATTCGAGATGAAATGTCCCTTTGTGCAGCCCACCAAGATAGACGAGTCGAATTTATATTGGGTGGCCTTCAAGAAAGCCTTAGACGAGCTGTAAGTGTGTCGCTCAATTCAATGGAACTGTGTAACATGTTTTTTCGCTTCCGCAGTGGCTTGAAGACTCGCTACCGCGTCTTTCCGGGCGCCACCGACAGCCGCTACATTCGTCATGTTGGCATTCCGGCTCTGGGCTTCTCGCCAATCAACAAGACTCCCCTGCTGCTGCATGACCACGATGAGTTCTTGCGTGCGGACACCTATCTGAACGGCATTGAGGTCTACAAGAAGCTCATACCAGCTGTGGCCAATGCCTAAATAAAAACCATATGCGGCATTCTAAGATTCCATTCCATTAATATGCCCAAATTAATAAATCAATAAAACTGCAGAGTCGAACCACAATTTAAAGAAATGAACGTCAGTAATTACTGTAAATATATATGCAATACGAAACGTGTGAATAATTACTGTAAATATATACATATACAGCATAAGCGCGAACTGGAACTGTGCAAATGACATTCATTTTGCATTATCCAGGAGCATTTGCATCCGTTTCTTGTTTCTTTAATGAACGATTCATCAAATTAATTAATGATCCATTGAGCTCTGTACGTGACTTAATGCAATATGATGTGCGCATGTATATTTTATGATTATATACGTTTTAACGTCTGTCTTGGCTTCCGTCTACCTGCCTCAGGCTGTTCCATTAAGAGATTTCAAAGATGAATTATAAAATAATTTTATGCATCGTTTTATTTAGTGTTATGTAGTTTGCTAGCTATCTAAATTGGACGCTATTATATATGTACTATGTACTCCTGTTGTTCTTCTTTGGAGATTACTTAAACATATGTCATTTACTAAAAACTCTAATATTAGATTAACATCTTTTTGTTTGTCTGTCAGATCCCAGAAGATAGAGCTAGAGATTTGAAATTTTTTTCGTAGGTCCTAGTATACCACGTGAATATCGAGTTTTTCTCGAAAAAACGAGAACTATTTCCAATATTTTTTCATCGATTAAAAACCTTATCAAAAGCTAGTTATTTTATTATATCTCCTGCACCTTTAGAGCTAGAGCTTCTAAATTTTAAATGTAGACTTATATGTATTCTATATAATTTCGATTTTTGTTGTAGTAATCATAGTAGTAGTATAGTAATCACAAAAGCATTGTATGCCGATTTGCCATTTTCAATGGGTTAAGGGCATAATAAAACTATTTTTGATAAAAATAAGACCACAAAATGAAAGATAAGTTAAACCACAGAGTTAAAAGAAACTGGTGTCCGCAAAACAACAAATTGTGAAGCATGGCATTGGGTATTTAAAGGAGAAGTAAAGTGCGCATATTAAAGTAAACTTTAACTAACCGCGCCAGACATTGAAAGTGTAATTTTTTCACGATGAGTCGAGCTGAATGGGAGGACAATGAAGAAATCAAAATATTCCGCGAATATTTGCGCATTCCATCGGTGCATCCAAATGTGGATTACAGTAAATATCAGAATCGATAAAAAATAAAAATCTTGATAAAACTGAATCTTTCTCGGGTTTGCAGCTGCTTGTGTGGAATTCTTGAAACGTCAAGCGGCGAGCCTGGAGCTGCCTGTAGAGGTTGTGTCGGTCGGACTGAATCCGGTTGTTGTTATAAAGTGGCTAGGCAAGCAGCCTGAGCTGCCTTCCATTGTCCTAAACTCGCACATGGATGTGGTTCCGGTGTTCCCTGAGAGGTGGACCCACGCGCCGTTCGATGCCGAAATGGATGACGAGGGTCGTATCTATGCTCGAGGCGCCCAGGACATGAAGAGTGTTGCCACGCAATATCTTGGGGCTGTTCGGTCTCTGAAAGCCAGCGGCTATCAGCCCAAGCGCACGGTTTATCTCACCTTTGTGCCCGATGAAGAGGCTGGCATTACTCCGGGAATGGCCAACCTGGTCAAGACGGACTACTTCAAGAGACTCAATGTTGGATTTAGCTTGGACGAGGGCATTGCCAGCGAGGACGAAGCGTATGATGTGTTCTATGCAGAGCGAACTATATGGCGTAAGTACATGCAGCTTGCATTGTGATCCCCCCCATTCAGATTCTTGAATTCCTGCAGACCTAAGGCTGAAGATCAGCGGAACTTCTGGTCACGGTTCGCTGCTTCTAAGCAAAACCGCCGGGCAGAAGTTCAGCTACATTTTGGTCAAAATGATGGAATTCCGTGATTTGGAGGTGAGAAAACTTGAGCAGAAGTCCAAAATAGACATTGGAGACGTTACCACCATGAATCTCACCCAACTGGCCGGCGGTGTCCAAAGCAATGTGGTGCCGCCGTTGCTGGAAGTGGTCTTCGACATTCGAATTGCCATAACTGTGGACATTGATGAGCTCGAGAAGAAAATTCGCGACTGGTGCGAGGAGGCTGGAGGCGGCATTGAGCTGGTGTTTGAATCGAAGGAACCCTATGTACCGCCCACTAAAATCGATGCATCGAATCCCTACTGGCTGGCGTTCAAGCAAGCCCTAGACGAACTGTAAGTAAGGAGGCAGCGATGCGCTCGAGTGCTCAGCTTCTTTTCTTTTGATTCATTACAGAGGTGTGAAGACCCGGCAACGCGTGTTTCCTGGCGGCACCGACAGCCGCTTCCTGCGACAAGCTGGCATCTCGGCCTTGGGATTCTCGCCAATCAATAACACGCCCATCCTACTGCACGACCACAACGAACACCTGCGAGCAGACACCTATCTGCGTGGCATTGAGATTTACAAGAAGCTAATCGCAGCTGTTGCCAATGCCTAGCGCATTTTACATACTCTTAATTAATGTTGATTTCAATAGTTTGATCGATTTGCTATTCAACAATAAACATACCTGAAGCTAAATGACAAGTAAAACTTGCTGATAACGGGCTAATTTTCAATCACAGCAAACTCGCTGATAAGAGGCAAATCACTCAAATTTATTATAATGGGAAATGTAGCTGATAATAAAATGCAGACCATATCTATATACATACATACACATATATTTATTAATAACAGAACTTTGCTTTATCGTAGCCGGTAGCTGCCGTCAGACACTGCTGAAACATGTTGACCAATTGGTAAAATGAGTAAATTGGAATTACTTAGAAGTCGAAAGGTGAATTCGCATTACGCAACAGATTTTAGATTAGTTGGTAATTCAATTTAGTCATATCAAATATGAGGAATCCCTTGACTCAGTCAGGCATCTGGATTCTTAGAATTCCATCGAAGTGCTTGAATGTATTTGAATCGACGGGCCATAGAAATTATTATGTATGTATGTATATTTTATATAATAATATATATGTATATATTAATGATAATAATAACAATAATGTCAGGGATTTTGCATTATGGTTTCTCTTCAACCAAACCGCTTGACAGCCATCAGTTTCAAACTGTAGAGCCAAGCAACCTTGATCTTGATATAAACTAGGGTAATAGATAGAGGGGTAATACATTATAATTTAATTGTTTTCGTAGCAAAACTCACAGACCTAATTAGTTTTGATAAAGAGAAGAAATACAATGCAACTGCTGATAAAAAGTTGGGCCTCAAATTTCGTCGACAATGAGATAAGAAGTAACCGCATTTTCAATAGACATACTCTTCCCCATCATACTGGGTATAAAAGGGAGAAGGAAACCAATTTTGATTTAAAACAAACTTGAGGTCGACGAACGTTCCCATTATTGTGCAAAGCGAGACAGAATGAGTAAGGCTCAGTGGGAAAATAATGAAGAGATCAAAATCTTCCGCGAATATCTGCGCATTAAATCGGTGCATCCGGATGTGGATTACAGTGAGTTATACAGACCAACGCATCTTTTATATTTGCATTATGCAATGGAAATGAGTTCTTGATACCCCAAATTCTATCTACGATGTATGATACCTCTGGTCTTCAAACTTTGCACTGTTTGTTGCTGTATGTCTGGGTTCATCTTATACATATCTATGACTGCTCACCTATCTATACGATATTTGAGGCGCAGCAAAAAGCTTAGACGCTTTTTTACTAGCCGCACGCTCCTCAAGCCACGGCCCAGAGATAACCAACCAGGCTTAACTAGCTCCGATAAAAAATAACTTAAATAGACACGCTGATAAGAGGTAGCAAAAGGTATTTGTGATGCGTGATAAGGAATAACACGTTTGTAGTCTATATTCGCGCATTTCAATCTGAACGTCTCAATTAATTAATTTATAACAAGTTATTTATCGAGTTTCTCAAAGGGTAAACGAAGTCGACATTCTGGCAATACTTGATGTCTTAATCAGTTTGCTTCAGCTGCTTCAATGTGTAGTTAAGGCAATCCATTGTATTATCAATCGCATTTCTTAAGCACCACTTCAGCTAATTAGCTAATGGGAGGTGTGCTTTTTTTTTTTTTTTTTTGTTTTTTATCATTTTAAGAGTGGTTAATAAATTGCTTTCAATTTGCTGAGCGCTCCCATTATAAACGACCCGCTGTTAGCGCTCAGACTGCAAATAAAACGCCCCGATAACAAGCTCATTTGCAACCAAAATTATCACACTGATAAGCAGCATATCAGTCAAGTTTATGAAAACAAAGATTGAGTGTCCATAAATCCGATAACGCATGACAACCCATTAGCAGCAAATGTACTTGTTCGCTGTGGATCAAAGTGGATGTGGAGACCTCAAGGGAGTATTAAGAGCGTGCATCATTTTCTTCGGCCAACAGTCAGTCCCTGACTCGAGTCGCAGCAACTAGGCCTTATCCATACGATAAAGTGAACATGAGCAAAGCTGAGTGGGAAAACAATGAGGAAATCAAAATCTTTCGTGAATATTTGCGAATTCCTTCGGTTCACCCAAACGTAGACTACAGTGAGTGCGTAGGACATACCCTAGGGTGGAAAAATACCTTATAGATGTATAGCATTACCCACTTACATACATGGGAAACCTCATCATGAAACTTAGTTATACTCGATTAACTGATTCTCTTCAATAGCCGGATGCGTGGAGTTTATTAAGCGTCAGGCAGCCAGCCTTGATCTGCCAGTGGATGTGGTGTACCCAGTGAACGATGCCAATCCCGTGGTCATTGTGAAGTGGCTGGGCACCCAGCCCGAGCTGCCGTCAATCATGCTGAACTCGCATATGGATGTGGTGCCGGTGTTCCCCGAGCATTGGACACACGATCCATTCAGCGCCGATCTGGACGACGAGGGTCGCATCTACGCGCGTGGCACACAGGACACAAAGGGCATTGGCACTCAATATCTGGCTGCGATTCGAGTGCTCAAAGCGCAGGGCTACCAGCCGAAGCGATCTATCTATGTAACCTTTGTGCCCGATGAGGAGCTCGGTGGAGTTCTCGGCATGCAAGGATTCGTTAAGGGACAGTACTTCAAGGAACTCAACGCGGGCTTCTGCCTGGATGAGGGCTGCTCCAACATAGACGACTCCTATTTAATATTCTATGCAGAGCGAACGGCCTGGCGTAAGTAGAGCTAGCCTAAGAATAAACCCATATTTGACCTCCAATGTAATTACAGAGATTAGATTTAAGGTTAGCGGCACGACAGGCCATGGCTCCCAGCTGCTGCCGAACACAGCCGCCGAGAAGCTGAACTATCTTGTGACCAAGCTGCTGGAATACCGCACAAGCCAGATGGAGAGGATTAAGGACCTGCCCAATAAATTTTCCGGCGAGGTGACCTCCGTTAATCTCACCATATTGAGCGGAGGCGTGCAAAACAATGTTCTGCCTCCCCTGCTGGAGGCGGTGTTTGATATTCGCATTGCCATCGACGTGGATCTAGTCGCCTTTGAGCAACAGATACGCGACTGGTGCGCCGAGGCAGGCAGCGGCATCGAGATTCAATTTGAGCGAAAGGATGAATTCTCGCCGGTCACGAAAATTGACGCCTCGAATCCATTCTGGACAGCCTTTCAGAACTCGCTGAACGAACAGTTAGTATGCCCCATCTAATGCAAGCTGGCTCACAAATTTACATCTTTTCCACAGGAACCTAAAGTGCACGCCCATCGTGTGCCCTGGATGCACAGACAGCCGCTTCTTGCGGCCTTTGGGGGTCTCGGCTCTGGGATTTTCACCGATGAAAAACATGCCCATCCTACCGCATGCTCACGATGAATACACGCGCGCCGATATCTATCTGCATGGCATTGAGGTCTACACGAAGATCATTCCAGCCATTGCCAGTGTCTGAACTATAACTAAAAGTGTTTTAAATTTCTATCTATTGCTCAAGCAATAAAAATATAAATAAATAAATAACATACAAAATATGCCAGAGAAATAAATCTAGATAATCTGTAAACATAATTAAACAAGTGTTAAAAATGTATATGCTCATTGCTTAATCAATAAAATATAAACATAAACATATAAATCAATCAAAAGTCGTAATATTTTATTGATAAGAAAATATGAATTCAGACAAAATGCAGATCAACTTTTGCAATTTTCCAACTGATCCAAGCAATAATAAATAAATAATATATATAACAGACGTTATAAGCCATTGAGATTTCCACCTATATTCTTTCCATGTAGTGCTTATTCATTACTCCAATATATTCCACGACCATTGAATTTCGTGAATTACACACATTCTCTACCGGAAGTGACTAAATGATTTATTTTATTTTAATAAATTGCATAGACAAATATGTTCTATGCGCCATGTCCGATTTTATCGTCAAAAACAATTAGCAAAAAAAAAAAAAAAAAAAAAAAAAAAAAAAAAAAAGTGTCGGGCAAAGGTTATTCGAAAAATCCACATTAGCTGATAACAATTGGTGACTTAGTTGTAAATATGATAAAAACAGACATATTGTTAATGAAAAAGCCTTATAATGGATGGCAGAATAACGTATATAAGCGTTGGGTCGATAAGACTGCCAAACAGTCGTCGGCCAGCACTGAAACCGTTCAGTGCTCTTATTTTGTGGTGCCAGCATCTCCGAGCATCTAAAGTGTTTATAGTGAAAACGTGTGTATATAGCATCCATTAATTGTTTATAATTGGCTAACAAAAGTCTTATATAGTCGAATATCTAAACAAAATGAGCAAAGCCGAGTGGGAAAACAATGAAGAAATTCAAATATTTCGCGAATACCTGCGTATACCCACGGTACACCCAAATATAGATTACAGTAAGTTTGTAAGATTGCGCTGATCTGCGATAAGCCGATTTATCAGAGCGGCGCCATTATGCAAGTGCTCTAAGGGAGATTACATTAAACCGAACAATTCACAGCCGATTGCGTGGCGTTCTTGAAGCGTCAGGCAGCCAGCCTGGATCTGCCGGTGGATGTGGTTTATCCGGTGAACGAGGCCAATCCCGTTGTGGTAATGAAGTGGGAGGGCACTGAGCCCGAGCTGCCTTCCATCATTCTGAACTCGCATACGGATGTTGTGCCCGTCTTTCCGGAAAAGTGGACTCATGACCCATTCAGTGCGGACATCGATGACGAGGGTCGGATTTATGCGCGAGGCTCGCAGGACATGAAGTGTGTTGGCACCCAGTATCTGGCCGCCATTCGCGCACTGAAGGCCTCCGGCTATAAGCCAAAGCGAACCTTCTACTTGACCTATGTGCCCGACGAAGAGGCTGGCGGATTCTTCGGAATGCGCGAATTCATTAATGGGGATTACTTCAAGTCGCTCAATGTGGGTCTCAGCTTAGACGAGGGCTCCTCCACATTGGATGACTCCTACTACGTATACTATGCAGAGCGCACCGGATGGCGTAAGTATATCTGCTGCACAATTCCTCGGAGTCTACCAATACGTGTTTTTTTCGGCAGACATTCGATTTAAGATCAGCGGAACAGCCGGCCATGGCTCCATATTGTTGCCCAACACC